GGCCGGGAGCGGCCACTGCACTCCAGTCTGGGCAACCGAGTGAGACTTCAACTCAAAAAATAAAATAAAATAAAAAATAAATAAAAAAAAAAATCTATTCAATTATTCATTCTTTACATTTTGCCAAACAAGGACATACGACAAGCAACACCCTTGTCTAAGGAATGTTCTTGGAGTGCAGATGGCAAGCTGGCACCCACCGTGAGAAGGCCACCCGACACCCACCATGGCGCCCCTAAAGCCGGAGCCCCTGGCCCCAGCCCCTCTGCTTACTGAGAGCCGATGCTGAGTGCGGTGCCTTTTTGTGAATGATCATTGAAAATTTCCCACAGCCGAGCCTTCTGTGACCTTTTTTCTCCATCTGTTGCTTCCTGAGAAACAAAAGAGTCCATAGATTTGTTTTTTGAGTCAGAGTCCCACTCTTGCCCAGGCTGGAGTGCAGTAGCACACTCACGGCCACTGCAGCCTCGTCCTGCTGGGCTCAGACAATCTTTCCGCCTCAGCCTTCCAAGTAGCTGGAACTACAGACATGCACCACCACACCCAGCTAATTATTATTTTTTTTTTTTGAGTTGGCGTCTCACTCTGTCGCCCAGACTGGAGTGCAGTGGCCGCTCCCGGCCACCGCAGCCTCGACCCGCTGGGCTCCGGCGATCCTTCCGCCTCAGCCTTCCGAGTAGCCGGAATTACAGGCATGCGCTACCACGCCCGGCTGATTTTTTTTTTATTTATTGTAGAGATGAGGTCTCGCCTGCCCAGGTGGGTCTCGAACCCGCGGGCTCAGGCAATCCACTCACCTCGGCCTCCCAAAGGCGCGGGATGACAGGCTGAGCCGCCAAGCCCGGCTTAATTTTTTATTTATTGTAGAGACAAGGTCTCGCCATGTTGCCCAGGCTAGTCTCGAACCCATAAGCTCAGGCAATCCTCTCACCTCTCCCTCCCAAAGTGCTGGGATGACAGGCGTGAGCCAACACGCCTGGCTCAAAATCAGTTCTTATCAGGGAAAGAAGTTCTGCTGTCCATCAGTCCTGGGTCACGTGGCGTTGGCTGCGACAGTCCAAGATGAATGTCACCCCGAAGTCCTGCCTTTCCAGGTCTGGGGACCAAAGGCCACTGGGAGCCTATGGAGTTCATTTTAGTTGCAAGAGGCCACCAGGGGGCAGCAGGAAGAAGCAAGTCCAACCGACATTTTTCTGGAGACTTCTGCCGCACGCCCTAAAGCTTGGGCCTCCCTCCTCCACAGAAATTCTGACTCCTCCGGAGAAATTCTGATGAATAGCAGTTCTTCCCAGAGCGCTGGCTCAGCCCCAGGCTACAGTCGCAGCCCCCAGGGACAGTAGTTCACTCTTGGCATGGGGGGCACCATGCCCACCACCTCCTCTCTGGGAGGAGAGAGAGGCCGATTGCCCACGGCTGGGGTTTGAGCCTGGGCAAACGCAGGCACGTCCAGCTGTGCCCGGGCCTGGTGCCCGCAGAGGGGACCGGGCGGGTGGTGCAGGGGTTGGGGCTGAGAAGCCAGGCCCCTTCTCTCCTGGAAAAACATGCTGTGCCTCTGAGTCACCCGTTTCCTCACACCTCGTTTTCTGTCTCCACCCTCCTCCTCTGGGGCATTTGAACATCTGCAAACCCAAGTAGGAAACTTGGATCTCGCTCAAGGGAGCGCAGTCACATACACGCATTTTTCTGCTTTAAACTCCTTTGTGCACTTAAATCTTCTGGCCAGACAGAATTCTACCGGAGAAGATAGTTTTTCAACAAGAAGGAGCAGCTAATTTTTTTTTTTTTTTTTTTTTTGGAGTCAGGATCTCACTCTGTTGCCCAGGCTGGAGTCAGCGGCACGATCACGGCTCACCACAGCTTCGACCGCCTAGGCTCAGGCGATTCTTCTGCATCAGCCTCCCAAGTAGCTGGAACTATAGGCACACACCACCACACCCCGAATAATTTTTAAATTTTTTTTGTAGAGACAAGGTCTTGCTATGTTACCCAGGCTGGAAATAAATGTTTTGTTCTGCGCAGTCTCTGTTCCTAGCCTTAAAATGTATTCTTAAATCCAAAGTTTTACACTCAAGATAACCTAAAGGGATAAGCATTTTGCATCTTACACACATGTTATTTACCCATATAGATACAGAACAATTTACAAATGCTCTGCACACAGCACATATAGCAGTGAGCTTCACAAAGACAAGCCCCATCAGGTGCAGTGGCTCACACCTGTCATCCCAGTACTTTGGGAGGCGGAGGCCAGAGGATTGCCTGAGCTCAGGGGCTTGAGAACAGCCTGAACAACATACCAAGACCTTGTCTCTACAATAAATAGATAAATAAATAATTAGCCAGGTATGGTGGCACATACCTGTGGTTCTAGTTACTTGGAAGGCTGAGGAGGAAGGATCACCTACCCAGCAGGTCGGGGCTGCGGTGGCCGTGAGTGTGCCACTGCACTCCAGCCTGGGTGACAGAGAGAGACTCCAACTAAAAAAAAAGAAAAAGAAAGACAAGCCCCATCAGAGAGATCTTCAGTCCTCTAACAGAGAAAAGAGCAAGCAGCTTTCTTTGCCATTAAAAATCCCACAGGGAGTCGGGCTCGGTGGCTCAACCTGTAATCCTGCACTTTGGGAGGCTGAGGTGAGTGGATTGCCTAGGCCTGCCTGGGCAACTTGGCGAGACCTCATCTCTACAGTAAATCAAAAAAATTAGCTGGGTGTGGCAGCGCGCGCCTGTAGTTCCAGCTACTTGGAAGGCGGAGGCGGAAGGATTGCTGGAGCCCAGCAGGTTGAGGCTTCAGTGGCCAGGACTGGCCACTGCACTCCAGTTTGGGTGACAGAGTGAGACTCCAACTCAAAACAAAACCAAAAACCAAAAATCCCACAGGGATTATGTGGCTCACAAGATTTCAACTCATAAATCCTATTTATAATCTCCTCACCACTCCCCAGCAGTGGGTTGTGTTGAGTCTGATTTGACACTTGGTTGTGCTTTTCTTTCCAACTTGGCCATCATTTAAAAAGTATACTCGGTCTGGAACACTGGTCTCTGTCTTGGTACTTATGTTGTACTGTAGGGTAAACTAGGAATTTGGAAGGGAAACATTTACACCTTGAATGCTTAACCAAAATGTCAAAATAGGCCAGGCACGGTGGCTCACACCTGTAATCCCAGCACTTGGGGAGGCTGAGGCGGGAGGATGGCTTGAGCCCAGGGGTTCAAGACCAGCCTGCGTAACACAGCGAGACCTTGTCTCTACAAAAAATCTTTAAAAAGTTAGCCAGGCGTGGTGGTGTACAACTATAGTCCCAGCTACCTGGGGGGCTGAGGTGGAGGATTACCAGACCCCAGGGGTTCAAGGCTGCGGTGAGCACTTTTGTTTTTTTAGTTGAAATCCCACTCTGTCACCCAGGCTAGAGTGCAGTGTCTGTTCATAGCTCTCCACAGTCTCCAACTCCTGGGCTCAGTCAATCTTCCGGCTTCAGCCTCCTGAGTGGCTAAGACTACAGCCACACACCACCACACTCAGCTACTTTTAAGATTATTTGTAGAGATGATTCTCACAATGTTGCCCACGCTGGTCTTGAACTCCTGACCTCAAGTCATCCTCCCGCCTCGGCCTTCCCAAGTGCTGGGATTACCGGCATGAGCCACCACACCTGGCCTTATCTCTACAAAAACAAAAAAAAATTGGCGTGATGGTGTGGACCCGAAGTCCCAGCTACTTGGGAGGCTGAGGGGAAAGGATCACCCGAGCCCAGGAGGTCGAGGCTGCGGTGAGCCGTGAGGTGGCACTGCACTATATAGAGCCCAGAAGACAGAGTGAGATCCCAACTCAAAACAAGACAAAACTAACAAGGATTTGTCCTTAGGATTTTACATGCTTTACAGCTTGTCAGCTCTGGAAGATGTCTTGCTTAGGAAAGGGAAGACGTCAGCCCTGGGAAGAGAGATGAGGCTTACTCCTGGCACAGAGGCACAGGTTGGACCCAAGAGGAAAGACTTTTGGACATCACAGGAAGAGAGCAGTGCTGGTCGGTGTTGAACAGTGGTGGAGACTGGCCCCATCTGGGCAGTGTTCGAGCAAAGCTACAGGGCCACCTATAATCCTGGCTGGAACCAGGATGGTTCTTAACCAAGTGAGCTTAGCAGAAGCGCCTGCAGAGATTTTTTTTTTTTTTTTGAGTCAGAGTCTCTGTTGCCCAGGGTGGAGTACAGTGGCACAATTAAGGTTCAGGGCAGCCTTGACCTCCTGGGCTCAGGTGATCCTTCCACCTCAGCCTCCCGCATAGTTGGGATTGCAGGTACTTGCCACCATACCAGCTACAAAGAATATATATATATATTTAGAGAGAGAGAGAGAGAGAGAGAGTCTCTGTTGCCCGGGCTGGAATGCAGGAGCATGCTCATAGCCACGGCAGCCTCGACCTGCTGGGCTCCGGCAATCCTTCCACCTCAGCCTTCCAAGTAGCTGGAACTATAGGTGTGCGCCACCACACCCAGC